AAAAAAAAACAAACTTTGAATCCTTCCGTATCTGTGTTTGGCGGATATAGCACGGATATATTGATATTGTATGGAAATAGTTCCATTTGTAGAGCATCGGCAAATCCTCTGGAAGAAAAATTCCGATGTGTACAAAATTAAATGAACATGGTTTTGATAATGATAGTAAGAGATAGGAAACATAGCGTACCTTAAAGCGAACTTAGTAGGTGCATAAGCAGTGTAACCATAAATGGCACACTGTCCACCCGCTGATGAAACAAAAGATATGTGACCGGAACGCTTAGACATCATACTAGTCACCACACACCTAGTAGCGTATACCTAAGAAAGAGTACGCTTAACCAAAGATAAATCGTATAAATGAAAGTCTCAGGATGCAAAAAAAAATCTAAAAACCTACCGCACTCAGGTAATTGATCCGCATCTGATTCTCGAAATCGGTAATTGGTTGAATATGGAACGGAGCCTGTAAGCAGAACTTTTGGCACATAAAAAGATGCTAACTCATACTTTCGCATCATTTAGAAAAAGGCTAGCGTTTCCACTCTTTCTTTGAAATTTTGAGGTCAAAAATCTCAAGGAAAAAAGCCTCAAGATTTCAAAACAGGTGACATTTGTGCAACTAAGAGATTGCCCTTTACTGCCTACCTGAACACTTGTGCCAGCATTATTAATGAGAACATCGACGGGACCAAGTTCGGCCTCAGCACGACGAATAACTTCTTCAACCTAGAAAAAAACCTATAATGTTCTTTTTCAAATGAGATAATTAGCATAGTATAGATAGCTTACCTCATTATAATCTTTGGTAAGATCTAAAGAGTACCAGCGGACTTTTTGTTGCAGGCCTCGTTGATCGGCAGCTGCTTGCAGTTCTTCACAAGCCGCCTATATAATAGCAGATGATACTAGATTCAGTCCGAATCATACAACAACAGAAAGCAGTTCAACCTTCAAATCATTTTCGTTTCTTGCGATGATAGAAACGTTGCAACCTCTTGAAATCAAAGATAAAGCCAACTGCTTGCCAATCCCCTTTGATCCGCCTGGTAAAATTTTGCTTTATAGATAGAATAAGTTAGTGAAAATGATGTTATACATAAAAGCTAATCTTATACATAACCCCAAGAAATAACAAATTTTCAAAACACTTTTAGCAGTACTTTCCTCTGATTATTGCTCATGTAACTTTCAGCTTTTACTATTACAGTTTCTTCTAAAGAAGAAATCTAAAACATGGTGCCATGTTACTCAAGTTGGGATTTTCGCAAGTCCACATTAATTTCCTTTTTTCTTAACAAAAAACAAGAATAGCATTGTAAAGCAAGTCACCATAGAGAAGGTGTAAGTAACTCCTACATCATTGAATTTGATACTTCTCACTTCGCCCTGCAGAACATCTCTTAGTAGTTCTTAATCTCATTCTGATATGAAAAGTGGTCTGCAAGCATCTAAATTCCTCTTGAATTTC